TCGATCTCTGCAAGTAAGGGCTGGCCTCAGAGCATATTCCTAAATGGCTCCGAAAGCAAACAGAATCCTCAGAAAGCATTAATGGTTGGAACGGGAGACCTAGCTCCTCCATTGCGAAACATATTATAGAGACAGGACATAAAATTGACGTTAACACATCTTTTAAACCTATCTATAAAACGTGTTTGGGGCGTATCCTAAAGTTTGTGGAAGCCCTAGCAATTAGAAAGTTTAAACCACTTCTATGCGTTCAAGGCAACAATTCCTCATCACACTAAACCTACCTTCCTTGGTAAATTTTGTTTTGATACCATAGCAGATGTACTACTAACTCTGTTATTTGGTTTAGTGGTCTTCATTGTTATTTTGACCTTGAATATGTCCTTTTAACTTGATCTAAGTCTATTTTCTCACCTCTTAACTCTTTAATAACTTCATATATCTTCCTATGACAAGTCCGTGTGTGATCAGATTGTTCGAAATGTGTTGTGCGTGGAAATACATTACACGATTCAGACAAATTACGTCTTCTTATTGCTTTATCTAAATAAATATTATATTTTATAATTGTAGGAACCTGAAGAGGAGAAATTATTGAAAAGAATATTCTTTGTTCAGATTGACTTTTAATTCATGTGATATGGGGATATTTCACATTATTAGATATTATTATTATAATTATTAACTGATTTTATATATATTTAATGTTATCGGTTGACAATGTATAACAAATTCAGAATACAGGATTTTCATCATGAGCTGACATTAGTTAGAGAACCATTGGAAAAACTGGGAGTACTGGACAGCTGTTTCTTCCTAGTTTGAGTCTCCTCACCAGTACGCACCCACCGGGATTCGAACCCTGGTCAGCTCATGATGAAAATCCTTTAACCAATGAAATCACTACGAACCAACATTTGAAATTCTGAATAGTTACGAAAGAGATTGATTGGCAGAAGCAAGTCTCTACTTGTATACTTGTGGTGGACGTGGGGAATTATTTCAACAACTTCCATCTTCTCTATAGAACAAGCAAAAAACTTAGGCTGAGATGCTGGAATTAACCAACCAGAGACAAGCACCAATCATTATCAAAGAAAGAAATTTGAAAGACGTCATACTTCCTTCACCTATTCGGCTAGATATCATCATTTCATCTACATGCGACAGCAAGCGTGAGGATATTGAGATAAGAGGACAAGATTCAGATTTTCAACACCCCTGTTAAGTCAATCACTTCTTCTAAATGAGATTCAGAAACTCGGGATGTCACAACAAATAGCATTTCGAACAGGCTACTGCGAAAACTTTCATCAGTAGCTACCTTCGCTCGCGTCATACCTAATATTAAATAGCCGGCCAGAAAGAATTAACAGCAAAGAACTTTGAGAACAAACCAATCAAGAATCTATCGCTCAGCAAATGGAGATGGATTGGGTATACTCTGAGGGGACTGTTAGGTGATATCTCCGGCCAGGCCATTATTCGAATAAAACCCAAATGGGAAATGACGAGTTCTGCGTGTGTCCTAGGATGACATAAAGGAGTTCTTATGAAGAGGAGATAAAAGCATACGGACAATCGTGAGGCCAGCTAAAAAGGACTCTAAAGAACAAGAAGAAATTGACACTGTGCTGTTGAAGCACAATGTTCCACCCGAAAAACCCAAGGGAATCATATAATAATCATTTATTATCCAAAAAACAGAAATAAGTAAATTCCATAAAAAATATTGGAGGATCTGTACTTCGCCGATGATGTGTCTGATTCCTCACAAACTGGAAGATGTGCAAATGAAGAGCAAACAGTTGGCCGAAGAAGCATCAAAGATAGGAGGGACTTTAGGTGAAAATAGAGAAAACAGAGGTGATGAAGATTCCTGGTCGACAGCAACTGCCATAGCAACAACAACAGACAACAATCAGCCAGCATAAATGGGAGAAAGCTGAAAGAAGCAACCTCAATCACCTACCTACCTGGGAAGTATCGTTTCAACTACAGGCGGACGGAACTGATGGGAATATCAGCAAAGTGATGGTCTGGAACGCTAGGCGACTTTTCATGACTCTCCAGTCTGTGTGGAGATCAACAGCACTGCTCAGCATGATAAATAAGATCCGGATTTTCAAATCCAATGTGAAGTCAATGAGACTATACGGATCAGAGATTTGGCACCCCGATGCGACACGAATGGCACCTCGAACAAACTACCACCTTCATCAACAGCTGTCTTCGCTCAATACTCACGATCGGAAAGCCGGCCAGAAAAGTTCAGCGATAGTGAGGGGTCTCTGGCAATGAGCGAACCAACCCAGCAGGAACCATTTGTGCAAGAAATATACAGGAAGAAATGGAGGTGGATTAGCTGGTCATACTCTGAGAAAATAAATCATCAAGTGACATCACACTCCGGGAGATCACTCGAGTGGAACCTAAATGGTAAGTGGCGAGTTGGTCGTCAGTGCTTGGGTGACATGGAGGAGGTTATTATTTTTATTTTTGATTACATATTACATGGATTTCGACTTAGACCGACGCACATGTGGGCAGACGTAGAGCTAGGTGGAAACGATGACGGAGAATTGAACGCAATGGAGACGTGCGGCTGAAGCCCTATGTTCCTCCAGGAACTAAAGGAAATAATAACAATAACAATTTGGTGATTGCTACTAATGGAAGTCAAGCTGCGCATTTCAGCTTATTAAAGACTGGCGATTCACTAAAACCAGAGCAGGTGAACACCTGCAGATCTGCCTACAGCAGCTCGACTACATCTTCTACCAGTAGCTGAAGTGATGGCAATCAGTATCAGAAAAAAACTGGTGTCTGTAGTCAGAAGAAGTATGTCTAACCACTATGTTTACCTTGGCCAACGATAAAGTCAGTAAATCCTTCATAAACATCGCAGCTTTAAAATCGTATCCTATTTTCTCAATTTTCTATTTTATTTCATTGACAAACGTTTATTTCTGAACTTTTATGACTTCATGACCTTTCTTATGATTTCTATTCCCTTAGGTTTAAATAATGAATGCTTTCCTAACTTGTGTTATCCTATTTACACAGTCAGGTTCATTTCACTTCATTATTACTTGATGATCGTTCACTAATAGTACTTTTAAGTTTACACCACACCACACCATCATTATTGTTGTTATTAGTCACTCTTGAACTTACATCTAATCTATCCCATTTGTTGGTTTATTTTTCTGTAGTAATCATACTGTCCTACACACACCACTGATTACACTCACCCTTGTAACCTGTACTTTTGTTGACTACATATACACACACATCATAGCTTTATTCCACCGCATTTTATCCCATTTTGTAAAAAATTATATTTGTAAAATCTCAGCGAGATTGAAATGAGTAATTCCAACTTTTCGTCCGGCAATCTGGTTCGAACTTATTCAGGGAAATTAATCGAAATTAACATAACAGAGGTTTATATATAAAAGGAACAACTCATGTTTTTAAAAACTTTGTCCAGTCATGAGTCATTCAAAAAGTATCAACAAGTATAATAAACAAAATTTTATGAGCTGTGATCAAAATTTGACCTCGGACTTACAAATATTGGTCTACCTTTGTTAAATACTTTAAACAGAGTGTGCATGCGTGTGTGTGTAAACAGTTGTAAAACATCTCTTAACGTCTCCATAAGAAGGTATGGACAGTCGAGAATTTTGACCAAATATTAATAACTAGTGATACATGTCCATTTTTTATTTATTAATCAGGATTTCCTATGCATCAGCTAACATCACGCCTTCATGTCCGTTCACACTGTTAGTATCTAGAATTTTATGATTAGACGTATTTTCAAAATTATGGTGTTTAGGATTAGCGTTTAGTAGAAGCACCCTGTCGGACTTATTGCATTGTCTTCTTTCTGAAGATTGAGCTGCTTTATTCGACTGACTGGAGTTGTCAGGTGACTCGACAGCTACGGATTTAGGATATGCATTCTGTTGCAGACAATGGAGAGTGAAAACACGATGATTGTGCCAATTACATAGTTTCTTTGTTAATTTAATTCGATTGCAAAATAATTCAAATGAACTGTCGTCAAGATTTGACAGAATAGTTCTAAAATATTTGGGCGCCGAGTAAGAAGTAGACATTTGTAAAAAAAATTATATTTGTAAAATCTCACTCGGCACCCAAATATTTTAGAACTATTCTGTCAAATCTTGACGACAGTTCATTTGAATTATCTCATGTTCTTTAGTGACCATACATTGAGTTCTAAATAAGTCAGAACTCACTGACTGACTGACTGATACTAACTACGATTATTCGATCTTGTACAATACACATTCTGTTAATATAATTCTAATTTATTTTTACGATTCGATCACGGAACCATTGAAAACCAGCACTGGAGTACTGGATAGCTGTTTCATCCTAGTTTTGGGGGGCTGATCGGCAGTACAAATTGGTAGGAGTTAGAATTCATGGACTGGGTGGCCACTGAATCGAGTCCCATTGGCTGAATGATATACGAGCCAGCTAGCTCGCCTTGTAACCGGAAGGTCCTGGGTTCGAACCCCACTGTGGTGGGTGCATACTGCCGATGATTCCAGAACTAATGGGATGAAACAGCTGTCCAGTACTCCAGTGCTGGTTTTTTAATGCTTCTCTAACTGGTATCAATCCGTGGAGAAGAATATACTGACAAACAGTTACTGTTCACTCTAATTAAATTTTTTCTTAATAAGCAATGAGGATATTCAAGTTATTTAAGACTTATTATCCGGGTGTACCTATAACTCTAGTGAGTAATAGTGTTACCTGATGAGTCTTAAATCAGGATGAAACGCGCATCCTGGATTTCATTGTTGGCTGCCGGTGACCAAATGATCCTCAGATATATTATCGAAGCATCTCGAACAGGTGATGATATATATGAATGGAGAGCAAATGTTTCAATCCAGTAAAAATAATTCAACCGGGGGATTCAAATTAACTTTAATAAAAATAAATGAATAGTTTACCTTTTGATGAGAGTTTACAAGTAGTTTGTAATATTTTTGATAAATCTTTCATTTCATGTAACCAAAATTTACATCGATCACGTCGTAATCCTTTACCAGGTGTTAATTGATCCGTAATCACTAAGTGATCATAATCATCTGTTAAGAGGTCATCACTTCGACGGTATAATGGCCATTGTGGATTAATTACTTCACCAGTTTCACTTCGAGATGGATTTCTGTATGGAAATTAAACATACAAAAGTAAAATAAGTTAGACACATGTATATGTTAATGCTTGAGCACACATGAAACTTTTAATAAGCTAGGTTTTAATGAGATCAATTGTAAACATTAGTATGATGTCCTATTATTATTGTTGTTTCCTTTAGCTCCTAGAGGAACATAAGGCTGCACGTCTCCATCGCGTTCGATTCTCCGCCAACATTTTCACCTGGCTACACGTCTGCCCACATGCTTTCATCTCCTCTTCACATAACCTTCCTCCTCCATGTCACCTTAGCACTGGCGACCAACTCGCCACTTTCCATTCACCTTCCACTCGAGTGATGGCCTGGCGTGTGATGCCACTTGATGGTTTGTTTTCTCAGAGTATGATCAGCCAATCCACCTCCATTTCTTCCCGCATATTTGTTGCACAGTTGGTTCCTGCTGTGTTGGTTCGCTCATTGCCAGAGATCCCTCACTGTTGCTGATCGTTTCTGGCCGGCCATCTTATCTTGAGCGAAGTCTTGAGCGAAGACAGCTGTTGATGAAGGTGTGTAGTTTGTTCAAAGTGGCCTTCGTGACGCGGCGCCAAGTCTCTGATCCGTATAGTGAGTAGCACTGACTTCACATTGGAGTTGAAAATCTGGATCTTATTTTTTCAAGCTGAGTGACGCTGACTTCCACACAGACTTGAGAATAATGAAAGATTGCCTTGCTTTCCTGATCCTCCCTTTGCTATCCTCATGAGTTCCTTCCGCCTGCAGTTGGCACGATGCTTCCTAGGTGGGTTGGTAAGCAGGTAGGTGAAAGAGATTGCTTCTTCCAAATTTCTCCCATTTATGCTGATTGTTGTTCTATTAATTGTTGATTTTATTTTGTATTTCTCACTAATCAAATGTTTTTGGACCTAAATATTGGGTATCTACTAACATGTAGGCTACTAGTATGGATGCTTTGACCATCTCGCGTCAAGGATGACTAGCAGCAGAATCTAGGATGAACATTTCATCTTGTTGGATGGCTGACGGCACTCGACAAGAAACCCTTGAAACTAAATTTCGTGCTTGTTGGCACTCATCAGCAGGGTGCATTTGCAGTCTTCAAGGAACTCAAGTCCCTTTTCAGATTCAAAACTGTGTCACCTAGTGCTACACTCAGAGACGTCGCTACTGACCTCATATAGGACTGTAATTGATATATTTAATTAGACACTAATGCCATACGTCTTGTCCTTTGTTTGGTGCGCAGATTAAATTACTTCTATCAGTCAAACGATGAACTAGATGCTTAACATTCGTTACTATCTGTTGTTCATTCAAAGTATACTTCATCTTATTTCGGACCTGTCAGCTAAAGAGCCCTCACTTTATTAGGCGTCATATATCAAAATAACATAATTTGAATAAAGCAAGAAGAACAGTGGTTTGTGCAGAATAAGATGGTAACATCATTTATTTCGCTGGATTCCCATCAGCTGTATACAACCTGAAGAATTTACTAAGTTCGTGAGGAGAGCAATTTCAACATACTTGCCCATGTTACACAATGTCAGTTGACAGAAGACTCTAAACTTTACAAACAGTCCTCAGAAATTACACACATAGTTTACACCTAGAAAGTTCCAGGTTAAACAGAAATAATGGCTTGGATTCTATGGCTGGCAAAGGAGTTGTGTAATACAGACCAGTGGTGATAATGAGTAACTAGTCAGTTGAATAACAATGTGGTGAGTTCAACCCAAATCACAGAAACAAGAGACAGGCAAGGTTACAGTATATCAACGGGGAGAGACGTTCAGGCTAAAGATTACGTAATCAAATGAAAGAAAACAAACGTTTACAATAGTGCCATCGCCATACATCTCAGCAATACCGGTCATGTGTTCAGAAAGAAGCAGTTATCAGTTGTTCTTTGCCTTGGTAACTCCATATGTTTACTCTGCCTTTCATTTGGACTGTGTAATCTGCGGCTCTGACATCTACTCCCACGCTATAGCGCAACTGTTTTCCTGTCTTGTTTCTATGATTTGGGCTGAACTCCCCACATTGTTATTCACTTGACTAGTTACTCGTCAGCTTATCCACCAATTGCTTGTGTTACGCAACTCCTTTGCCAGCAATAGAATGCAAGCCCTTATTTCTGTCTAACCTAGAACTTTCTAGGTGTAAACTATGTGTGTAATTTCTGAGGACTGTTTGTAAAGATTGGAGTCTTCTGTCAACTGACATTTTGTAACATTGACAAGCGTGTTGAAATTGTTCTCTACACGGACTTAGTAATTTGTTGATATTAGATGGTTGAAGGCAATCGGCGGGAAGCCTTGCTTGACCTAGGTTTCGTGCTAGTTGGCACTTATCAGTCAGCAAAGTGTATCTGAAACCTCGAAGGAACTAGTGTCCCTTCTAAGATTCGAACCTGCGTCACCCAGTGCTGCCTGCAGTCAGAGACGTTACCACTGAGCTATTCGGGCTGGCTCGCGATTGACCTCCTTCCTGGAGGACTGTAGTGGATACTTTAATTGGACACTAGTCAGTAACTAGTGTGATGTGCCTAGTCCTTTCTTTGTTGCAGACTGAATTCTACCACCAGTCAGGTTTGCAAAGTGGCCACCATTCTAGGTAGCTCACCATCCCGATGTACATTGATTTGATGATATTGTATGGTGACCTAGAATGGTGGCCACTTTGCAAACCTGACTGCTGGTAGAATTCAGTCTGCACCAAAGATAGGAGGACTAGACACATCACACTAGTTACTAACTAGTGTCCAATCAAAGAACTTATTAATTTCTTCAGGTTGTACACAGATGATATGAGTGCAACGAAATAAATGATGGCACCATATTATTCTGCCTAAACTGTTGCTCTGAGACTCCAAATCTGTGTAGCATCCCAATAATGCATTATGATATGCGGTCAACGGCCACTGGGTTATGCTACAACGGATTACAGTTCCAAGTTAATGCAGATTTATACAAAAGGGTGATTACAGCCAGATTTCAAAGCTGATTTTGTTCTGACATTGTGATTTAAAGATTTAGCTGATCGTAACTGTTCATTAGAACGTTGTCTTGAAGGTAGCCACTAATGAAGTATGGTTTATTATTTGCATGTTAGATTAGTGTCAATAGTAGAACAACATTTTATAAACAGGCCGACGAAATTTATCCAAATACAAGTGGTTCCAATCACTTTGCATAGTGGAAGACATCATATAAAGCCAAAACTTGTAAAAAAGCAGTTCTATCCTCAATCTAACTACAGGCAACACTGATGAAGATGTCAAGGAAGAAAAGGATGGGGTAATCAAGACAGACGAATTCGTTGTCCAACTAATAACACTTTCGACAGTTGATAAAAGACAAAACTCTAGTCAGTGCTTGAACAAGAGCTGATTTGTAGTGATTTGATTTGCTTCAAGTTTTTGCGACGAATTGATATCAATTAGACAACCATTGAAAACAACCGAACAGCCGTTTCATCCTATTTCGGAACTCTTCATCAGCAGGCAACCGAAAGAAGTTCTGACCCAAGGACATCGGAGTTACCAGTCAAGCTCGTAGAACATTCAGCCATTAGGACCCTACCGAATGGCTCATGAATTCCAACTTCTACCGATTCGTGACTGGCATCAGCCACTATCATTGGTGGCGAGTGTTTGTCCTCACGCCCGACCTGGTGAAATTGACTGATCACCACATATCACTAGTCAAACGAAAACATAGCACCAGTCAATGAAATCTACAACAGTTAATCTAAGCCACGTAGGGAGGTGTAGACTGGCTTCCTGATTGGGGTCCTCGGGACGGTAAAAACCAATGGTTGGAAACAATTGGTGACAGGGTTCAAAATCGTTCTCAATGGTGCAGATGTATCCACCCCTTTGACTTATGATTTCCAATGAAACTATATCGTTCTTCGTTATTACTATTCCTTTATCTCACACCTCTGTTTACTGTCTTTATTATGCAGTTCTCCTACTTTCTTCTCTTGATTTGTGTGCTACAAGGAGGGAGTGTGGCGACTTGAACTGCCGCACATATGTGCAACGTTCTATGTCGAAAACAGACAGACAGACTAGAACTTCAGTCAACCTCTTCCTGTAGTCAGTCACTAGCCAGTATAAGATTAATTTTCAATGGTTAGTTTCAAGTACTGTTTCGTATAGATAACAGATATAGGCTTACTGAAACAGAGGGAATACTAGACAATTGTTTCATACACAGTTTGGGACTCTTTGACAATACGTATCGATTTAATAAGACCTCTCAGGGTTGAGTGGAAAAGTTATGATAATGAGGCGATCGCTTATACAATGCAATCGCCCATCACTTTACAACGTCATCTTTTTCAGAGGTACTTCAAGATCGGCAATCAGGGAATATTTAAGATAAATTGATAAATTTCAATAATGAAAAAAGAACAGATTTGCAGCATAAAGTATGATATCATCAGTCTGCACCAAAGAAGCACTAGATACGTCAGACTAGTTACTAGTGTCGAATCAAAATACCCACTACAGTCCTACAGGAGGTCAATCGCGAGCCAGCGCGAATAGCTCAGCAGTAACGTCTCTGACTGCAGGTGGCACTGGGAGACGCGGGTTCGAATCTCAGAAGGGACATGAGTTCCTTCGGGGTTGCAGATACGCCTTGCTGATGAGTGCCAACTAGCACGAAACCTAGGTCCAAGGCTTCCTGCCGATTGCCTTCAACTATCTAATATCAAATATGATATCATCATTCTTCTATTTCATAGGTTCTCATCAGCTGCTGCAAACTGCCCGAAATTACAATGGTTATAAATAGTGACAGTAACATACTTCAATAGTAGTATGGAATGGCAGTAAAGAAAAAATGATTAAATCAACGCATCCAAAATATAAGCATTACAATTTTTAGTTTAAGTTACCATCAATTTACAGGCCTTTCAAAATAGAAAGGGATTTGGGGGTAGGAAGGAGAAGATAGAAAACAGAAAAATCTAATAAACAGTGTTAACAAGTAGGTTCACACAGCAACTCAAGAAGGTTACAGTTCATAAAATTGTAGGCTTACTCAGTGAGATGAAATCATTAAAATGTGGTTTACTAATCAATGTTATCGAAATGCAGTTACCATGGGATTGAGACACCTTGTGTATACGGGTCAGTTGTCGAGATTTCTAAATCCTCCAAAAGTCAAACATACAAAGGATAGCAAATTTACAACGATTTACTGCTGAAGTCATTGCAATCAAGCCTTTCAAACCAAACTTATGCATACACAAAGAGAGTGTGATAAATCTCTCACTCTCCCTTGGTAAGTGCATTTGAATTTCATTGATTAGTCATCCGTATCAGTGATTTCATCTCACTGAGCAAGCCTACAATTTTATGAACTGTAACCTTCTTCACTTGCAATGTGAACCTACTTGCTAACACTGTTTATTAGATTTTTTCTAGTATCTATCTTCTCCTTCCTACCCCCAACTCCCTTTATTTTGAAAGGCCTATAAATTGATGGTAACTTCAACTAAAAATTGTAATACCTACTATTGTATACTACTACTAATGAAGTATGTTATTGTCATTATTTAGAACTATTGTGATTTCGCACAGTGTGCAGCAGCTGATGAGAACTTTTGAAAAAGAAGAATGATGATATCATATTTTATACTGCAAATCATGTATTTCTTTCTATCTTCAAGAAGCTGTTGAGATATTGTTCATAATTCATGTTTCATCTACAGTGGCTTATGTCAAATAATAACATGACTCAATGTCATACGACCTGAATCCTCAGTAAACATTCGTCTACTTTAGGCCTTCTTATAAGATTCCCGTTGATGGCGACAGCAGCGACATCCACCGCCAATCACAATCAACGGGAGGGATTTGAAAGAGGTTACTTCATTCACTTATCTAGGGAGCATTGTCTCAACCACAGGAGAGACGGAAGAGGATGTCAAATCGAGCGAGAATCGGGAAGGCGAAAAACACATTCATCAACCTGAAACCAATCTGGAAATCTTCGTCAATCAGCCTGCATCAACAACAAAGTGATTCGGATTTCCAATACAAACGTCAAGTCAGTCAGTTCTTCTATACGGATCAGAAACTTGGCCAGTGTGTCACAAAGAATATTTCCAACAGCCTGTTGCAGACAAAAACGACTGTCAACAACTGTCTTCGTTCTTTACTGAAGATCAGATGGCCGTAAAGAATCACCAACAAGAAACTATGGGAACAAACAAAACTAGAACCAATCGCCCAATAAATATGCAGGAGAAAGTGGAGATGGATTGGACACTCACTGGCTGAGGAGGCCGCTGGGTGACATCGCGCGTCAGGCCATTGCTCGAGTGGAACCCGAAAGGGAAGCGGCGAGTAGGACATCCAAGCTTGACATGGAGGAGATCTTGTGAAGAGTAGTTGAAACAGTATGGATTAACATGGATGCAGATGAAAAGTACAGCAGAAGACAGAAGCAAGTGGAGGCGTGTAGTTGAAGCCCTATGTTCCACTAGGAACCCAAGGGAACAATAATAATAAGATTCTACCTGTTAATATAAGCAATTCAACGGAAAGAATAATCTTAATCTTAAGTACACAGCACGGCTAAAACACACTTAAACATTGTAGACCAGACCCGTCGATGACCATATTACCATCATAATGACACCATAATTGACATATTAAGTAAGCTGAGCTCTGAATGTTTTTTATACACCTGGAAATTCCACTCGTCATATATATATATACTAACAATCACAAAGCTATTCAGAGACACGAATTTTTTAAATTTATTTTTAACAGTTCACCTGAGTGAGAGGATAGAGGCATAGGCTGTTACTCTACTTTGAAGTGAGTCTGTGTAAAGCTCACGTACCATGCCTCAAACTGGCTTAGGCTTGTCTACATTGTATATGTATACTATCTGTCTGTTTTCGACATAGACCTTTGCACATATGTGCAGCAGTTCAAGTCACCACACTCCCTCCTTGTACCACACAAAGCAAGAGAAGAAAGTAGGAGAAATGCATAATAATATAGACAGTAAACAGAGGTGTGAGACAAAGGAATAGTAATAACGAAGAACGATATAGTTTAATTGGAAATCATGTCACAAGGAGTGGATGCATCTGCGCCAGTCATTGAGAACAATTTTGAGCCACGTCACCAATTGTTTCCAACCATTGGTTTTTATTGTCCCGAGGACTCCAACCAGTCAGGAAGTCTACAACTTCCTACATGGCCTAGACTAATTGTTGTGGATTTCATTGACTGGTGCCATGTTTTGGTTTGACCGCCGCTAGCTCTTTTCCAGCCTGACCCTATGTCAGCTAACATTGCCTATTGTCGAGGAAGGCGATGACTAGGCATACGTAACACATGTCCTAACCATCTCAGTCGATGTAATTTCACAGTCTCATCGATTGATTTCCCCGCCTTACCTAGCACTCGATGCCTGACCTCAATATTGCTCACCCTATTATACCATTTCACACGGGAGATAGAATGCAGACACCTATGATCAAAGACAGCTAGCCAGCCTTTTCATGTCTTCCACTCTCAGTGGCCAGGTCTCGCTCACAGCCATAAAGGAGGACGGAGCGGACTGTTGAGCAGTACATCCGCATTTTGGTCGACAGTCGGATATCACGTCTACTGCCAGAGACGTCGTAAACTGGCATATGCGAAACTAGCCCTCTGTATCCGTGCTGAGATTTCGTCAGAGATCAACCCGTTGGCACTGGCTGATGGTACTTCCCAAATAAGTGAAGCGGTCAACGTACTCTACCACTTCACTTCCTATTTCTAATCTAGGAGTCGGTGTAGTCCAATCCTGTAACAAGTCCACAAGATTCACAGAAGTACTTTTACTGAGGTCATGAATTAATAATAATAATAATCTACTTTATTCCAGAAACAGTACTTATAATACAGAATGGAATACTTAGCATTTGTCACAAGTTTGTAAATTTGTTTATTATGATGCATATATTGTCGTAAAATCAATACACTTAAATTGCATGGAGAAACTTACCCAGTTTTAGCAAAATTTGTCCATAATTTCATGAGACGAGAACTGAGCATTCCTTCATCTTCAGTGAAACCATAAAATTCTGAAGAGAAAACTGGATCTTTTGGCATACCAAATATATATTCAATTTCATAGCCATGCATAACTCCAGTCCACTTTGGTACAGGTAACGATTGTGTTCTCTTCTTAAAATGATACAAGTATACTTTAGCCCCTGGTATTCGTGCTACTTGATCAGCAAAATTTAGTGTAGGACAAACAAAGTCCAGATCACCGGCTAATTCATCTAAGCGTCGAAGTAATTCTTCACCAGTCATCATCATTGTATCTGGATCAGCGTAACCATTCTCTGGTGTCGATTGAAGTGGTAAATTATAATAATAAGCTGGTAATTTAGCTAGACCAGGTCGCATTTGTGCTTCTTCTAGGATTTGTGTTGTTGTTATCCAATAGAAATCAGCTATCTCACCTTTCGGTCTGAATGGCTTCCGTTTGCCGGCTAATTCAATCGCTGATGGCATTAAAATAGAACCGTTGTCGTATATAAATTGAGCATTTTTTATTGAGATACCAGGGAGTAGAAAATACATTGCTTCATTCTCATTAATACCGATTAATAATTCTGGTTGATTTTTGAACTGACTAGTATTTTTTGTATTGAATATAAGATCAGGATGTTTTGGTATTACATAACCATCGATAACTGGTTGAAAGGGGACATCGAAGTATAATCGGCTACTGCCTGATTGGCCAAGGAGAACTGATTCACTTGTAAAGGTATTTGGATGTAAACATTTATGAAGAATATTATAACGACGTTTACCGATTGCTTCATGAATACTATCCAATTGGTTGACTAATGTAAGCGGATCAAGTTCTTGAAGACAGGCTAAACTTGCCCTGCGATCTAATGATGGCGATTTACATTTACAAGCTAGGGCGAACTGAAATAAAAGTTTAGAGAAACATGAGTCATGTTGTGTTTTGATAACCTTTGTCTTGGTTAAATATAAAAACGAATTTTAAGGAATCTTAGGGTAAAAACCATGGGTATTGAGAAGACAATCATACTTTGAACCGGTAAAGAAAATATTGCTCTTAATACATTTAATCCTACTCCAAAGATAATATGGTGGAGATATGTAGATGATACTTTCATAGTGTTAAAAACAGAACATATCTCTCTCTATCTTCTTCACGCATATAAACTTACTAGTAGAGGGAGTAAAATTCACATTTGAATCGGAAAATGAACAAGGACAATTAGCCATGATGTTAGATTGTTAAATAAAACGAACAGAAGAAGGTAAGCTGCACACTAGCGTTTATAAAAAACCAACGCATTCTGTTAATAGATATTTAGACTTAATTCATCTCATCCGTTGTCTGTCTGTGAAGGCAGGCGTAGTTAAGTGTCTAACAAACCGAGCAATAGCAAGTAGTACAGGAAAAGACTTAAATGATGAAATGAAACAGATAGAAGAATAGCTGGTTGGTATCAAATAACTATCCTATAAAATTCATTCGGAAGATCAGAAAAGGTCAAAAGCAAAATAAAAGTAATTATGAAGCTAGTAATGATAACATGAATAAGAGAGAATATAAGGCATTTACATTTCTACCATATAAGCGGGGGACATCTGAGACCCTACGTAGGATTCTTAATAGAGCAGGAATTAGGGTGAAGGACTAGCTCTTTAGGCTAAAGGACCCTATCGGTTGACTCAATTAGATGAAATACCCTGCAATGGCTGTGAGTTAAATCAACTGCATAGGTCAGTCAAACCAGTAGATCGGGGTAGTCAGTTTGTCAAAACATAAGAATTTAGTTGAGGTAAGAATAATTGACCCCGTGAAGATATGTAATTTAGAAAAAAGCTTAGCAGTTGCACCACATGTATTAACACACAACCACACAATAGGGTGGTGGAGGGTTAAAATTCTAAGAAGTAATCTAGGTAGGTGGAGATACAGAGATATTGATTACTGAATCCTATCTGGTTCATCGAGTCTACACCCAACACATGTTATAGGAGTGACTCATCACTCATACCAGAATAATGGAAAATACTACTACCAATCAAATGAAGCGATGGAAAATAATGGAATTGAATAAACGAAGTTAAAAGGTTGTGTGAATAATACCTTGTTATAATTATGAGTGGCAGTAAATTGTGCTCGGAACCTGGTAATCAGTAAATATTCCTGTATAACACTGTGAAACGTTATCAAAATAAATTTTACCCATAATTGAATTATACTCTACTACAGTGCACAAGTTTTATTCTTATACCGGTAAACAAAACCCTAAATTGTTGTTGCGCAAACTAGTTGCAGACGCGGCGAGCAACAATTCAAGTGAACACAGAGAAGAAAGCGTTGATGAAGTTACCGAACCAACAGAAGCAAAGACAAGTCATCATCAGTGGGAGAGATCTGAAGGAGTAAAGGAAATCATCACTGTTACTTACCTCTACACAAAAAAACTGATGAGGATGTCAAAGGCAGCATAGATTGGAAAAGCAAGACAGGCAAATCGGAATTTTTTTTAAATTAATGGTTCAGATAATTAGCATGCCCATCACAAAAAGCGTTTTCAACTGACTCCAAACTTTCAATAACATCAAATTTCCCTCGATACATGCGATGAAGATATCATCAAGTAACATTAAATGCAAGATTGTTATATGAAAGCCGGATGGAAAGTGACAGGATTTTAGTGCGAAGGTGATATTCAGGCGATTATGTAAAGTGGAAACGAAAGGTTTTGGGCAATCATGAAGCTAGCAGAAAATAATAGCAGATAACTGAGCGTAATACGGTTATATAGCTGAAGCTCTCTCTATGTTCGACTCTGAGCACAAGAAATGAATAATAATAATATATTAGCGTAATGCCTCTTTCTTCTTTGCTCTGATGTCAACTTCATCCCAGAGTTCTTTTGTATCAAGGGATAACATCACCTGAGTAAACGTTTATAAAACCGAAGATTCGAGGATACCCTGAATATCCCATCCATGCCGTTATGTTCAAGAACACTGTTCCTCAATCCTGGCTAAAAACGATTTCATGGGGTACTAATTTGGCATTATTTACTTCATGAATCGGATTTTTCAGCCAGACATCAGTCCACAAGACTGTCTGAAATCTAAATAGAGGCAGTATAGTATAGGACAGAATCATTAATAGTATTATTGAGCAACATTCAACATAAATTATGTCACTGTAATCAAAAGAAATAAAACTTCGACCTGAACAGGCTGGATTCAGGAAAAACAAGTCATGCATTGATAGGTTCGCCACATTACGGATCATCATTGAACAAAGCTTGGAATGGCAGTCAGCTCTCTATCTCAACTTCATCGACTTTGAAAAGGCCTTTGACAGCGTCGATCGAGTGTTGCCTTGGCAACTACTTCGCTACTACGGGGTGCCTCCAACAATTATACATCTCATCCAACAGCTGTACGACAATGCTGCATGCCAAGTAATCCACAACGGGAAACTTACGGAATCATTCGAAGTGAAGACAGGAGTAAGACAAGGCTACCTACTATCGCCAATAATTTTCCAGATTGCAGTAGATTGGATCATGCGACAAACAGCGCGCAATGAGGAAACAGGCATAAAATGGACTCACACAAAAACTTGGAGGATCTGGACTTCACCGATGTCATATATATGTGTGATTTCCCAAAAACTGGAAGATATGCAAACGAAAAGCAACAAGTTGGCAGAAGAAGCATCAAAGATAGGACTTACTTCAGATAAACATAGAGAAAACAGAGGTAATCAAGATTCCCGGGCAACAACATCAACAGCAACAACAACAGACAGCAATCAGCATAAATGGAAGGAACCTGAAAGAAACAACCTCTTTTACCTACCTACCTGGGAAGCATCGGTTCAACCACAGGTAGACGGAAATGACGAGGATATCGAAGCAGAAATCGGATAAGCAAGACAAGCTTTTACTACTCTCAAGCCTGTGTAGAGGTCAACAACACTCACCATCAAAAATAATATCCGGATTTTCAACTCCAATGTGAAGTCGGTCAGTTCTACTCACTATACGGATCAGAGACTTACACTGCGCGTCATGAAGAGCATCTCAAACAAACTACACACCTTCATTAACAGTTGTCTTCGCTTAATACTTCGCTCAAGATCAGATGGCCGGCCAGAAAAGATCAGCAACAGAGAGGGATCTCTGGCAATGAGCGAACCAACCCATCAGGAACCCATTGTGCAACAAATAGTCAGGAAGAAATGGAGATGGACTGGCTGGCCATACTCCGAGGAAATCGCTAGACAAGCCATTGCTTGAGTGGAACCCGAAAGGGAAGCGGCAAGTTGGTCGTCAGTGCGAAGGTGGGGTGACTTGGAGGAGGTCATGTGAAGAGGAGATGAAAACGTGTGGGCAGACTTGGAGCCTGTTGAAGACTGTAGCAGAGAACGGAACGCAATGGAGACGCACGGTTGAAGCCCTATGTTCCCCTAGGAATTAAAGGAAACAATAATAATAATCAAACGAATATCCAAAGCACAATTTACGCTAAAGTCAACAATGAAAATGTTGGCTAGTAGGATAGAATGAACCCTCCGCTTCAGTTAAACTGTTCAGCTCAATAAGCATAACAATGTCATGACATTAGTTAACAGATACGGGGGTGTGTTAACGACTTTACTGAATGGAAGCAAATTGGATTTAATAAGTGAAATCTCAGTGGAGCATATTCATCTGGCTCCGTAAAATAGAGTTTTGATCAGTTCTCGAACACTGATGTGTTGAGGAATTAGAGTAAGAATTTATGATTCTTGAAAATATGTTGAAAAACATCTCAGAAGCCCTGAGAAAGTCAGTGACTAGGATGAAAGATGGGGAGGCTCGAATGTCAAACAAATCACAGCTGAAAGAAGGTGGTAATACTGAAGCAATGGTCAACGCAAGATTGAATACGCCACTGGCGAGAGCCTATCCTGCAGCTAAGTTGGTTGCCGTCTATCGAACAACATGCTCTTTGGTGCTGTCGGAAGTCGATAGATACCATTCTCATCCTAACTCTAACTGTGTATACAAATTTGCATGTATGTGGGGGAGCAGTTACATTGTGCCAACAGGAAGAAAGGCACACCGGTGAAGAGGACTTTGTCTCAAGGGAATAAGCGTCTTCAACAGTGCCATTACCAGGTATCTCATAGATACAGGTCATGAGGAGAGCTCAAGTTTCCTCAAGTTTGTTGAATCTATCTCTAATAAACGCCTTAAACCAGATTTATGTATTTAGAAACAAGGAGTTAATAAGTCACACAAAATAAAATCTTATCCATAATGGAGTTATACTCTACCACAGTGCCCAAGTTTTATACTAATATCAATGTGAAGTTAGTCAGTCAGTTCTTCAATACGGGTCAGAAACTTGGCCAGCATGTAACGAAAAGGATTTCCAACAGGCCATCGCAGACTTTTATCAACAGCTACCAACTTTGCTGGATCCGTACTAAAGATCAAATAGCCAACCGGCCAGAAAGAATTAGCATAAAGAAACTCTGGCTGGGACAAACTAACTAGCTAAGAGCGGATTACTCAACAAATATGTAGGAGAAAATGGACATGGATGGGACATACGCTGAGGAGGCTGTCGAATGATATCACCTGCAATGCATGCCACCGCTCGAGTGGAATCCCAGTGGGAAGCGATGAGTGTGTTGTCAGTGCGAGGATGACATGGAGGAGATAGTGTGGCGAGGAGGAGATAAGAGATTCTGGTCAATCGTGGACCCAGTTGAAGAGGATAGCAGAAAATAGAACAAAGTGGAAATGTATTGTTGAAGGCTTACGTTCCCCTCTGAACCCAAGGGAGTAATAATATACTAGTGATTACTTGATGTGAGTGGTTTGATCCCTATGTCTATACTACTTGCTGTCTAAGAACCTTAAGTT